CTTTCGGTTACTTACAAACTGTTCACGAAAGTCATTACAGCTCGCATCTCTGACAGTCTGGATTCCAGCCAGCCTAGAGAACAGGCAGGCTTCCGCAGCGGATTCTCAACAACAGATCACATCCACACGCTCACCCAAATAAGAGAAAAAGTAAACGAATATAGGAAACCCCTGTGTATGGCATTCATCGATTATGAAAAGGCATTTGAATCTGTACAAATACCAGCAGTATTAGGTGCTATTCAACAACAGGGAGTTGAGGAGGTATATTGTAATATATTGGAAGATATATACAAAGATGGGACAGCAACCATCAAACTCCACACAGAAACCAATAAAATACCAATTAAAAAAGGCGTTAGACAAGGCGACACCATCTCACCAAAGCTGTTTACAGCTGCCTCGAGGAAATATTCAAGAAACTAGAATGGGAAGGGAAGGGTATCAAAATAGGAGACGAACACCTAAACAACCTAAGATTTGCAGACGACATCGTTCTCCTTAGTGAATCAGCTGTTGAACTGCAGCAATTAATAAACGATCTGAATAGAGAAAGCCTCAAAGTCGGACTTAAGATGAACAAGAAAATGACTAAGGTTATGTTCAACAGCAGAGTCCCACTCAAACAAATACATGTACAAGGCGAAGTACTAGAGGTAGTAGACAGGTATATATACCTAGGACAACTCGTGCAGACAGGCACATCAAGTGAACAGGAAATAAAGCGACGAATCAGTCTAGGCTGGAGTGCCTTCGGCAGGCACAGTAGCACACTAAGAGGTTCCTTGCCATTGTGCTTAAAAAGAAAAGTCTTTAATCAATGCGTCCTCCCAGTTATGACCTATGGGTCAGAAACATGGACTACAACCAGGTTACTGGAGAGGAAACTAATAAGCGCCCAGAGAGGGATGGAAAGATCGATGATGGGAATTAGCCTGAGAGATCGGAAGAGGGCGACGTGGATCAGAGAACAGACGAAGGTAGAAGATATACTCAAGAGAATTAAAAAGAAGAAATGACAATGGGCAGGACATGTATCTCGGAGACAAGACGACAGATGGACAAAGAAAGTAACAGACTGGACTATAAATAACTTAAGGAGGCCAAGAGCCAGACCAATGACACGATGGCGCGACGAAATAGCGAAATTTGGGGGCCAAGACTGGAAACAAACATCGCAAGACAGGGAAACCTGGAAAAGAATGGGAGAGGCTTACGCTCTGCAGTGGATTGACTCAGGCTGAAGATGATGATGATGATGATGATATATATATATATATGTATATATATATATATATATATATATATATATATATATATATATATATATATATATATATAGTATATTCATGATCGTGTGTGTTAAATGCAGCGCACTTACTTGATCGGGTATTAGAGCATTCTTTTCCTTTTCTTTCTTCTTTACGATTGATGTAAAATCAAACAATGAAACTTTACTGTATATTTTTCCATGTTTTTAATATTAATCTTAGCTAAGAATAAAATGTCAGTGAAGTAATCTGGGAACATATATTCTTTTATTTACAACACATGCGTGTATCACTTGGTTTTGTATCATTATTACGGAATCACAAATCGAATAATGAGGATACTGCCAATTACATAAAGTTTATTGTCACCTAGTCGATGGGATGTTTTTTTTCGCTCTCTACCCAACACAGCATTCACTGTTCTTGCTACTGTAAGTGCTCTCATCTGAAACAGCTGAAACCAGTGTAATTACAACCATACAGGTCAGCCCAGACTCAGGCAATGCTCCGCCTCCTATAATCAGCTTCTGTTGGGAACGGTAAAATTACGCTTCGCTTGGACTGGTGTGTCTAAGACGACTTCATGGTGTTCTAATGATGTCCTAATTGCATAAGAACATTTAAAGACTTTTATGACGATAATAGAAATCCTCAGTGCTAGCGAAAAGAATAGCCTAGAACCATCTATTCCGGTGGCAATTAGGGTGTCTCGCGATGTGACACGACACCAAAAGCTGTCTCGTGATCGGAGGCGAGGCAGGCCTCTAAGCTCCGCCTATTTCTGTGATGTAATGGGAATGGCCGAGGCTGACGGCTTGGTAAATTACTGTACTAGTTATTTTTCTGACAGGTACACAGTATTTTGCAATATGATAGCCAAGATGGCTTTTGATATCTTATGGTAGGTAGTGCGGTGTTATAGATATCTAATATAAGTACGAATATGCATGAAATATCCGAAGTAGGAGGAATGCATCTGGTAACTCAATAATGTTTACCGCCTGCTTGATTCCTGTCGCGTGAAAGGTGTCCTGTTTTCTGTAACCGCTGGAAAAGATGGCATAGATCCAGCTCCTTATATCCCAAATAGCGTGCTTATACTTCATGATATCCTTTGATTATGATGAATAACCTTGTTTTGCTGACTAAGTACAAATTACGTCAATGATTTGAGGCATCTTTTCCGGCAGTTACAGGAAACGCGACACTGTAGTGGAACCCGAAGAAAACGAGGTGTCATCAAGGGGGTCCCAAGCTATTCGTGGCAAGGCTGGACGCCTGGAGTCTCTACCCTTGACCACCAGGGACCACCACCGTGGGGAACCACCGGGACAACCTCCGTGGACGTTGAAACGAGATTTATCTATTTTTACAATGTTATATTTATCCTTACTTGGCATTGTTGTCTTTATGTTTATTACTGCAGTCCTCAATCCCTGGAAAAATGATTAGTTTTACTTAAATATAGAAAACACATCCACCATTGGAAAGCCCTTAACTGCTGGTTCCCACCTCCAAAGCACTGAGGGAGGTGTGGGAGATGACACGGGGAGTCACGCTTGCACGGCCCTGGCTACAGGTACTCTCTCTCCCAATCCACGGGCTAATTGACTTGTTTAAGGCTATTCTAGCAGTAAGCCAGAGATCCTTACGGAAGACTGCATGTCTAGAGCAGCCTTTGTTCCAAGTATATAGAGAGAGGCCGTAGTCGAGTGCATTTCTTTTTCTGGATTTACCATTGTGTGCAAGGTGATGAACGGAGGATTGAGGCTGCTTATTGTAAGATAAGTAATGTGTACACCAGCAGTATATGCAGGTTCTGTTATATTTTTGTCTTTTATGCATTTCGTCAACGTTACTATATTAGCTTATATCTATTTGTTTAATTTTCTTTTATTGATGTTCTTAGTCTAGCAAGGAGTTGTGCCCAGGCTCCTCTTTTCCACACGGGAAGTGTTAACGGTTTATTGTGAAACCCCGTTGTGGACTTATAGTAACACTAGGGATGCTTGCGTACTATGAATATTAAAGACCAATATTTATCCCAAACCCACCGTGCCTTCGGAGAGTGCTTACCGCTCGGCCCGCTCCGTCGGCACGTCTGACTAAATAATTATAAATATCTTGCCACATAGCTTTGACAGCGCGACAGGAATCGAGCAGACGGTTGAATTTAATCGAGATGCCTGATGCATTCCTCCTACTCCGGTTATTTCATGCATATTCGTATTCATATTGGACATCTATAACATCGCACAACCCACCATAAGATATCAAAAGCCATCGTGGATATCATTCCAAAGTACTGTGTACCAGGAGGTGGCATCTTCCTAAACAGGTCAACAATTATAGTTTTGTTTTCTCCCTCAAAAAATAATAAATAAATAATTAAGAAGAAAAAAAAAAAGATATTGGTATATGGGCCATTCATGGGTAAAAATTATTTGTTTTTACATTTCTTATGATTTTATTGGGAAATACAACAAATTGTCATGGCATGTTGATTAATCGTTGCTGATGTCATGTAATAAACGTGTGGGAATAACACTGTTGGTCGGGTAACCTTTTCAGGGCGTGAGGATTCGTCTCTAAAGACAGGAATTATCTAATAGTCTACAACACTTAATAAATTCGATGCATTTGGAAAGAAGAGTAGGCTATTTGAACATCTGTTGGCATATATGATACAAAGATTGGGCCGTAGTCCAATAAGAAATATAGGAAATCATGCTTACAGGGTGATTTGTGAGACGTTGGTTCTATCAAGGACAGAAAGGTTAGAAAAGGAGCAGTGACAGTGGTAAGAGAAACAACAGAACATCATCTTATTCAAAGTATTAAATAAATGGATCAGTCAGCCAACTTATATAGGCCTATGTCTTTCCATTTCATGAATCATCAACTCTATGAAAACCATTACCTGTTGCTCCATTTTGATGATTTTATGGGTGAATTTAAACGATGAAAAATGATTTCACATAATTAAACACTTAAGAAATTATTGGCTATTTAAAGTCGGTGCAACCTCGAACGCAGATCGGGAATTGCCACTGACCTTCAGGACTGTAGAAAACTACATCATTAATGTACAACACATTGATCATAATTTATGCGATAAGCTTCCTTAACAAGTCTGACTTAGAGGCGAATACATGCATGCATATGCGAAAATTTAGCTTCAATAATACAGCAGTGGAATATTTTCAATGTCGACGAAAATGTACAAATTTAAAATAATTTTCAAAGGCCCTCAACGCCACGCCCGAGATCCCTGCTTGAGAATAACTAATCTTATGAATTTGAAACACAACATATGGACTGAATTACGTGGTGTATGGTACCAGCAATCGGAGTTCCATTGATTATGAGCAAATTTGTATTCAAAGGGTTATGTCAAAGAGGCCTCCCCACTAACACAATAAAAATGCATTCAGATATATAATCTAAAGTCAAAGATTTGAAGTTTTATACTGTATAGTACCATTGGGCTGGGTTGATGGCATCACAAGGGACGATTACAGTCAAGGCCTAGACTTCGAAACCCAATAATCTATATTAGATAATGTGGCGCACCTAAACTGGGACGTATGCCATGAGTGTCATACTTGGTCTGGCATTTTTTTTTTTTTTTTTTTTTTGAAAAAAACGAAAATAAAATTCCATTTGTAGTGTTCTGGTGTCCTTCAGAAAATAACTTTTACCACAGTTATAGCCCAGGAGCGGTACTCCGACTGCGAAATTTGACTTTGCCAAAAAAGTCTGACTCGAGATTTTGGCTGACTTGGCGAAAATGTTCTTAACACCCGATTTTTGTCTCGGCCGATGTTTAAGGTTTCCCACATGCATAAGAAGTTTAATTTGTCCATATGAGAGGCTTACAATACTGCGACTTCACATTTTTTTTCAGAAATGATATGAAGAACTCACCTGACACATTTTCTTACATGTCGTGTTAATTGGGACGTTTTCTTCTTATTTACTGCAGCTTTCCCATAAACAGATCTCAACACACGTCTTCTCAGTTGACGTAATTACAATAAATGTAGAAGATTCCACATAAACATATAACAAAGATTGATTATATAATATTTTAGTCATATGCTTGCAATTCACTCGAATTGTTTATTTGTTCGTTTGTTTCATTATTACATTGGATAATTATGGGGTCTTTTAAGGTGTGACTCTTAGTACTACTGTCATAGACAAATTCTACAATGATCTTGGACTTCAAAAACTGTTTTAGGGCAATCTTTAAATGTGTCAAAGAAGATTCTTTGACTTTACTTGAATACTGCTCTTGAACTTTTAGAAACAGTAAATAAAGTTTACAACAATAATCAATCATAGGAATTTTATATTTTCCTCATTGATTCTCTGTCTGCTTCCATATACTGCCATATCGAATGGAAAATATGAATTGAAATAAACCAAGTTAATGTAACTTTTATTATAAACAAGATCACATCTTGCAGACGGTAAACTCTATTTTCACCTACGGTATGGTAACATTAGAACCTGTGGCAAACAATTGCACCCAACATGAAATATTAACAATGAAACTAAGCACCACAGATACAGGCACCAGAAGGTACATAAAATATGTAGAAAGAACTTTATTTCACTAACAAATGTGTAAGACTAGACTAAATAATTAATGACAAGAAAGCTCCATCTACAATTTAGATTTTGGGAAACGACTTACAGGGTAATTTTTAAAGATTCCACTTTTCCCTCAATGTTGATACTTGCCCCTTCGCCTATCCCTGGTGACTGAATTTTTGTTATTTGTATTTTCCAGGCTTCCTTTTCCACTCTTTATTCCACTGACGATGTCCTTTCCTGTGAAAAATCTTCCACCTCCTCCAGTGGATCCAATTGTGCCTGTTTTGATTTCCCAGATTCTTCTTTTCTATCTTGATAAACGCTGTCTCCAATACCTAGGGGTTTCAGAATACTGGAATGGCAAAATGATGATGAGAGACATCTTGAATGGGGGATATAACAGAGCAATCCTGTAGTCACTATTTGAGACATATTGTAAGTTCTAAAGAGGTAAGTTGACTAATACACTATGAAAATAAGGATATCTAAACTACGGTTCTCAATCATAAGAATATCTACGAAGGAGCACCATAGGAAGAACTGGGAGCCTTAGGAGGAGCTCCATAGGAAGGACTAGGAGCTTTTGGAGGGGCTCCGTAGGATGGGCTAGGAGCCTTCGGAGGAGCTCCGTAGGATGGGCTAGGAGCCTTCGGAGGAGCTCCATACGAAGGACTAGGAGCCTTCGGAGGAGCTCCATAGGATGGGCTAGGAGCCTTTGGAGGAGCTAGAGGAGGCTCCATAGGAGGCTAGGAGCCTTCGGAGGAGCTCCATAGGATGGGCTAGGAGCCTTTGGAGGAGCTCCGTAGGAAGGACTAGGAGCCTTCGGAGGAGCTCCGTAGGATGGGCTAGGAGCTTTTGGAGGGGCTCCGTAGGAAGGACTAGGAGCCTTCGAAGGAGCTCCATAGGATGGGCTAGGAGCTTTTGGAGGAGCTCCATAGGAAGGACTAGGAGCCTTCGGAGGAGCTCCGTAGGATGGGCTAGGAGCTTTTGGAGGGGCTCCATAGGAAGGACTAGGAGCCTTTGGAGGGGCCCCATAAGATGGGCTAGGAGCCTTTGGAGGAGCTCCATAGGACGCACTGGGAGCTTTTGGGGGAGCTCCATAGGAAGGACTGGGTGCTTTGGGGGGAGCTCCATAGGAAGGACTGGGAGCCTTCGGAGGCGCTCCATAGGATGGACTAGGAGCCTTCGGAGGGGCCCCATAAGAAGGACTTGGAGCCTTTGAAGGAGCTCCATATCCTTTACTAGGAGCCTTAGGAGGAGGTCCATAAGACGACTGAGGGCGTCCTTTGCTAGGGCGAGGACGACGGTGTCCTTTACTAGGGCGAGCTTTCTGAGGTCTTCGGCGTCCTTTCGACGGACGACGAGGCCGGCCGTAGGAGGGCCTTGATCTGCTCGGCCTCCGAGAGCGGGACCGAGGCTGAGCGCGAGGGATGAAAGCAGACCTTCTAATTCTATCAGAGGATTCTAACACGGCTACGTCACCACGAACTGGAAGGCAAAGGAGAAAGTAGGTTTGTTAGTATAAGGATGAAATTGCTAGGTATGGTTTGAGAAACTTGGTCTGACTTACCTTAGTTATGGTGTCCAGAACCGCCGCAGCCAAGTCCGGCTTGTCCAAGGCTAACATGGCGGCTGTGGAAACTTCTAACTCCGGCTTCTCTTCCATTTCTATAACTTCCAATTCCACCGCCATCTCCTCCTCCTCTACTACCATAAGCCTCAGCTCCACCTCCTCTACTGCCATGACCTTCAACACTGCTTCCTCCTCCCCCATTTCTATAACCTCCAACTCCGTCTCCTCTTCCACTACCATGACCAACACCACCTCCTCCTACTCCAACTCTTCCTCCATTACTGTAACTTCCAACTCTGACTCCTACTCCACTGCTATGACCTTTAACACTGCCTCCTCTTCCTCCTCCTCCATTACTATAATCGCCAACAGCACTTCCCCTTCCATTGCCATAACTTCCAGTACCTCCAACTCCACCACCTACTACCCCTCCTCCACTTTCAAAGCCCTGAGCACCACCTCCTCCACCATAGGCCCCAGCTCCTCTACCTATAGCGCTCCCACATCCCCCCACAATGCCTCCTGTTCCAACACTACCATGTCCTCTTCCACCACTGTCGTAGGCTCCTCTGACTCCAACCCCCCTGCCACATCCTCCCCCAACACCACTTACAACTCCACCTCCTTCTCCATACCCTGTGAGTCCACCAACGCCACCTACAACTTCGTGCCCGCCTCCTGCTCTAGTTCCTCCTCCGCCATATCCTCCTCCATCTCCTGTTCCAATTCCTACTCCAGCTGCCCCCCCTGCATTACCATACCCGGATCCAGTTCCTCCTCTAACATTACCATATCCTCCTCCAGTTCCCCCTCTAATGCCTCCTCCTCCTCCCCCAACATTACCATATCCTCCTCCAACTCCCCCTCTAATGCCTCCTCCTCCTCCTCCAACATTGTTATATTCTCCTCCAGTTCCACCACCTCCTGCATTACCACGCCCTCCTAAGAAACTACCACCAAGCACTCCTACTCCAGTCGCTACTCCAACATTATTGTATCCTCCTCCAACTCCACCTCCTATTCCTGCTCCAACATTATCATATCCTCCTCCAACTCCACCTCCTATTCCTGCTCCACCATTATCATATCCTCCTCCAACTCCACTACCAACTCCTACTCCTCCGACTTTACCATATCCTCCTTCAAGTCCGCCTCCAAACCTACCTCCAACTCCTGCTCCAACATTACTATATGCTGCTCCACCTCCAACTCCTACTCCAGTCCCTACTCCAACATTACCATATCCTCCTTCAACTCCACCTCCTATTCCTGCTCCAACATTGCCATATCCTCCTCCTATTCCGCTTCCAACCCCACCTCTTACTCCAGTTCCAACATTACCATAACCTCCTCCAACTCCACTTCTAACATTACCATATCCTGCTCCAACTCCTACTCCTACTCCAGCATTACTATATCCTCCGCCAGCTCCACCTCCAGCTCTTACTCCTGCTCCAACATTACCATATCCTACTCCAACACCACCTCCAGCTCCACCTCCTACTCCAACACCACCTCCAACAGCAACTCCACCTCTCGCTCCAACAGTGCCGTACCCACCTCCAACCCCAGCAGAGTTATATCCTCCTCCATCTTTACCTCCACCAACCCGAACTCCTCCTCCAACACTACTATAACCTCCTCCAAATCCCTCATTTGCCCCAACACTTTGACCTCCTCCTGCAGTTTTAAAATATTCTCCATCGGCTCCTCCATCTTTGCCATGCCCACCACCAACCCTACCTCCTTCGTTACCACCGCTTCCATATCCACCTCCAACACTCGCACGCCCACTCCCTTCTCCAGTTCTCCCTCCAGCAATGCCATATCCACCTCCACTTCCACTTCCAACCCCTGTTCCTACTCTTCCCCCACTTGCTCCGCCACCTCCTACTCCACTTACGCCTCCACTTCCTCTCCAACCATATCGACTCCCGCTTCCACCTCCCGCCCCCCTCCCCCCCTTCCAAATCCACTCGTCGGCGCGCCTCCACCTACTCCAGATCCACCTCCGCCGTACCTCGACCCGCCTGCATCGTACCCAGCGGCATAGGACGAGGTGCCCGACGCTCCGCCATCGAAGCCACGCCCACCAAAGCCGCTGCCACTGCCTGGTGTACTGCTATACCCACTCCCAACGCCTCCGCCTCCACCATACCCTCCTCCTGTACCTCCGACGGTGTTGCCAGAAGCATGAGCTCCTCCTGCTCCTCTTCTGCTTCCTCCTCCACCAACGTTGCCAACACCATGCGTTCCTCCACCAGTGTTACCACCATCATAAACTCTTCCTCCTCGTCCTCCTTCTCGAACAGTGTTGCTAGCAATATATATTCCTCCACCAGTGTTACCACCACCATACTCCACCCCTCCTCCTCCGGTTAGGCCAACAACATATCCTCCTCCACCTCCTCCTGATCCGGCAGTATTACCACTATAAAGTCTTCCTCCTCCCAAAAAGTGTTGCCACCACCAAATCTTCCCCCTCCAACAGTAGGTCCAGCAGCATATCCTATTGCTACTCCGCCAGTATTACCACCACCATGGCCACCTTCGCCTCCTCCTCCAGTGTTTCCAAACACACCTCTTCCACCTCCTCCTCCTCCTCCTCCTACAGTATTACCACCACCATATCCTGCACCTCTTCCACCAATATTTCCAACAGCAAATCCTCCTCCTCCACCACCAGTGTTACCAACATTATATCCATTTCCTCCTCCTCCTCCTACAGTATTACCCCCACCATATCCAGCTCCTCTTCCACCAATATTTCCAGCAGCAAATCCTCTTCCTGCACCACCACCAGTGTTACCAGCATCATAGCCACTTCCTCCTCCTCCTCCTGAAGTATTACCACCACCATATCCTGCTCCTCCTCCACCAATGTTTCCAGTAGCATATCCTCTTCCTTCACCACCAGTGTTGCCAGCATTATATCCTCTTCCTCCTCCTCCAGTGTTGCCACCACCGCCAGCCCAGTGCACCACTCCTCCCAGTCTCCCTGCAACACTTTCCACTGCAAAAGGGAAGGAACTGATTACGCAAGGAATGCAAAAATGTGTCTGCATGATTCGCCTGCCATGCACATGAAGGGAGCAGTTATTTTGGCCGTTTAGTTGCAAATGTCAGTCGCATTTAGAAGCGTTTTTTTAAGTTTCATTCCATCCCAGATGAACTTACCTACTGTTGTTTCGTTTACAAATATGAAAAATATAAAACTATACCCATGCTTTTCCACTCACACCAAAATGAACTTAATGTCTATTTTCATCCATTCATTTAAAAAATAAACAGATAGATAAAACAT